TGCAGCCAAAACTTCCATTCCACACCAGACCAACTCTTCCACCGTTGCAAGCACAGTACTTATGGTACCCAATAGCATTTGAACTGCTGAGGGTAAACTTAATATATGATGAAAGAAACACCAGATACGGCACCGAAAAGTCACAGAATATAATTCAAAACTATCGGTGAAGTCAAAGTGCTAGTCCCTATTTTCGTAAGAATCTCAGAATATGGTGCGGAGGAATACTATCACCTGCGGACCTCGGATTTCTGACTATAAGTGCAAACGAGAGCAAACTTGTTGAAGGAACCTATGATGGGATCGGGACACGCAAAATCTCGTACAGTGACAAACCGAAGGGTTGATACTTCTGATAAGCTTGGACAAACCAGGCTTTGTATGTAAGTAACGAAGTTCCACAAATATTTCGTATTCCGAACTTAGAGTTTTGAAAATGAGTATCACGTTGTATGGGTTTTTGCAGAAGGTCCGCATTCTCCGGACAAAAGCACGAGAAGATGACAGACTTTTTCCGTTTCAGTAACAAGGAACAGTAGTGCGACAATCATACAACAGGCCCTCATTAAGCAACACGCCACACCTTAAGCTAACGTCTCTCGGTTGTGCCGTTATTGAGCTGACGGCAAAGAAGAATGTAACACTTCGTAGATTAAGATTCGTAGCTGGATTCCGTATTTATCGGACTCATTAGGCTAACATTCGAGCAATCTTCAAAGACACCGACTGTCCATCAGTTGCATTCGATGCTTCAACCTTGGAAACGCTTATTCTCTCCTTGCATCAAATCGACTCGCAACCGAAACAGATAGGTCTTTGGAACTTGGAAGATCAGTTCTTAGTCCGTGATGGCCGATTTGCATTACGGCATTTTTAGCTGGGTAGTTTGACAGCTCATATGATTAGTCTGTACATACGGTTGTACACAATCGAGAGTAAGGTAAGGGGACAATAATCAGGTAGAACGGCTTCTTTACTACCTACGTAAGTCGGGTTCAAACACTCTAGCTTCGTTTTCTCGTAGTATCCCGAGTTCAAGAGACAAACAAACGACACAACAGGTTAACGGTCGGATCTGTGGGTGAAGTCCGCCAGGTTCGGAGGCCGATTGGACATCTGGCCAGAGTGACCTCATTATATCCATTGCAGTGGACGATGTTATATGTAGTATAATATCCCAACGAGGATCAGGCGTCTCATTGAGGTATATGGATGATACCATCCTTCGTAGCTGGATTTCCAAGAACTCTGGCTTGGTCTCCAGTCCCGGGTACTCAGTGTCCTCTGGTGGGCCTGAGTCAGTTTCACCTCGGTTATTGTATTTCCGTCATTAGTCAGTGAATTAATTTTGTCACAACTGGTATGGTTTCTTTTACTCTGGTGAAATTTCACCCTTAAAACGGTCCAATAAATTTGTATTTTAACCCGTAGGACCACGCCCATCCATGAACGTTGTGGAAAAATTGTGAGGTTTTTGTTTTGTAGTGACTACAAACCTGGAGAACTTGGGGATTCCTCCGTATGGCCAAATCGTGACCGGCTGTGTTGCAGAATTCATCCCCAACAGGCCCGCTTAGTGAAACAAGGGACGAGAACAAACGGTTAGACATGATCCTAGTGCCTTTACCAGCATATAGAGCAAGTCACCATTTCCTATCGTTTCTATCATTTAGGAGTCAGAGGCATCGGGAAAATCTGAAGGACACATCACGATAGAGCTGGCGCAAATCGTCCATCGGTGCGATCCAAATCACCAGTGGTCTTCTGCCAGGTCTCCTCGTCGAAGCTTTTGTTAACCAGACGCAACACCAAGCAGCTGTAGCATCAATCAATATAGAAGTTCATAGGGATGGTCGCTCGCAGATTGTTAAATTCAACGTCCAAGACACGTCAAACCAAGAATGCAGCATCCCTATTGCATCCGGGTCACCCGGATAGGCCAGGGACAATAGCTGCCCAGATGGTACATCCCTCAATGTTGCCAAACAACCGACTCAGAATGGCTTTGGACGCCGTCAGCTAGCAACATTACCACAAGCCCTGTGAAGACGGACCTACGACAGCTAAACATCGGAGGGCGATATCTGAACCGTAAAACGACGGCTGCCGGAGATGACGGAATACCTGGCAAATTACTCAAGGTGGGGGCATCAATATTATTTGACAAATTTCACACTTCAAACTATAATGCATGTGCGAGATAGTCGGGAATCGGTGGACAGTCCGTCTCTCCAACAATGAGCACTCAAACTAGCCAACATAGAGTCGTGCGCCGCAGTACGTTACCATCTACGTCGAATAGGTGGCGTAAGACGAACAACCAATAACAAAAGCGGTTTATTCCGGGCCATCCAAAAATCGCTCAGTTGTAGCACCATTTCGATGCCTAATTACAATGCCACCCGAAACAAGCACGAAGGCTAGGATACTGCCAGGCTGCCAAAACCTACTACTAACTACTGAGCCACATCCAGTCAAAGAATGTCGCTTAAACTCCAGGACGGCTGACATCTTGCTATTGCGATAGCCTCCAGTATGTCTGAAACGTAAATTTGGGTCCAGATCTTGGGAATATATTTCACTTGACTCAGCGGTCTCGTCGATGGTCGCCTCCTTTCGGTACCTAGCTGCCATGCCAACCGAAGCACAGGGGCCGAAATACTGCCAGGTTAACCAAAACTGGACAGGAACAGTTGAGCCCCAAGGGCTGGACTTGAACCACGAACCTCCCGGTCAGTAGGTTAGCGCCTAAACCAACGATCCTTCTGGAGATACTTTGAGAGTCATCCATTTGAAACTAAAGGGCTCTGGGGAACGATGAGGTCGAGCGCTCCAGGCCGTCGTTGCTCACCAACAATATCCTCAACATTGACAGCAACACCATGAGAACACTGACACTTCACTTGCATGCAACCACATCAATGTTTGAATAAAGCCTTATAGTGGAAAGAAAATGGGGTAGGGAGGGGATCTAGGGCTAGCCCTACACGAACATTCCCCCAAACATTTAATCGATCTGGCTGGAAACTGACAGAATGAACGCCAAGCATCGGTTAGCCACCACATGATTCAGCGTCCCCAGTAAAGCATAATAAGGATCAAGTGGACTCCATCACGCAATGCAAACAGCCCCAACAGCGCCCAAACTTTCCATGACATCTTTGTCACACCAAATTTTGCCTACCTCTAGGTTTCCGCCAACCTGAATCAAGCACAGAAAACAGCGCGCGTCTCGGCAGGTGCAACAAAACACAGCAAACTTAGGTTGCAATGATGGGTGGATTCTTTAAAGAAAGTACTCTGATTCACTAAAAACCCGCCTCCTTATCACCCCATTGTGAATTTGCCGTGTCCAACCGACTCTAGCTATGGTTCGGAGACAGATGGTCAAAAACCTGAATGTTTCATTATCCATTCGAAGTGGCCAAGTTCCCCAGTCGTTCAGCGATGCAGTCTGTACTGCTACATAATCCTTTGAAACCCAGTGAGCTTGTTTTTTATGCCACATGTGGCGTAAATTGGCAAAAGTAGGTCTAACATGCCAGATTATAGCATTCACTTCATGCTGTACTGTTGTCAGATCTAATGCAACTTCCGAAGTACGTAGATCGTCCCACAAATCCCGTGTCACTGTGAGGTATATTCAAAACCTGTACGTCCCAGGACATAACTTGTCACTTCGTGGGACGCATGACTGGATGACTGTGGTCAGCTTTTCTATTATTGCTTGCACCTCTTGGACTTCTCCAAAATTGAAAGCAATATCTTCCGTGTATTCCAATCCAACCAGATTCTCACTCGGAGATGAAAGCCGGAGGTTCGCAGATCATTGTTCGCCTCGCAGCTTCATCAGTGACTATCAGCAACTATGTCGCTGCTTGTTAAAAATTTTTGAAGCTCCCCGTCATTTGATAATTCCGTGCAATGCAGAGCACAATCACATCCACCGTCGTCCACTACGACTGAAGTCAAGATTATTCCAACCTCCATTTATTCAGTGCGATAGTAATTGGATTGAGTGGTGTTCAGGAGATCTACCCCAGGTTCTCTTGGATGTAAAGGTATACGCATAACCGAATTGCAGCTGGCACAGCATAAACATGTTGTTTCTCCAACGGAAGCGTTGATAAACGTTAAAAACGGATTGGGGAAGGGGTTTAACACCATATTATGGGCCGTGTACTCATTGACTGACTTCCTGCGGATTATTTACGTATCGGAATTCAGTTAGTTTCGGATGACGGCCGTGTACTCATTGACTGACTTCCTGCGCATTATTTACGTATCGGAATTCAGTTAGTAGTGGTAGCCATTCCTCGGTTTGCAAAAGGTAACAGGAGAATGCTGCATACACGAGAGCTAAACTGTCCTACCACAACACATGTTCATAATCACGGAGATTTGTCATGCCAGCGTTCCAGGCTAGCTTGAGCCCAAACAGGCTGGAAGAGGCATAGCTCATTGGGTATTCCACGAACGGAAACCAAATTTCCGAAAGCCGTAATGAACTCCCGCATGGAAACAACAAACGCAAAAGCGAACGAAATCAGCCCCACTGTCCAACATACCACACAAGTTTCCAAGATGACTAGGTAATAAGAGTGAAAACGGGCTACATTATTTTACTGCAAGGATGGAACCATTCCGGCCCATGACAGGTCGAGTGTGTGGGACGACTTGAGGTCTTACGATTGTCCTGTTAGGACGGTGGACCACGTCAGGGTACTTTACAGAGCAGTTAGAGCAAGGACTTACCACCCATGAAAGGGTGGCGTCTCGAAACCAACCATGGATGGCATCAACACGAAGGCAGTTCGCTAGGTCTGCTACATTACTTATGACAAGTCTCTGTGCTCTTGTAAAAGAAAACCACTAATTTTAACGCCCGGTTATGATCTATGTACATATTGAGGCTAAATATTGCTATGCAATGACTCATGGTTTTCAATGAAGAAAAAATTCAGCCCACCACTGTGAAACCTAAGTAAACCATCACCAACCTTGTCCTTCGCATTTTCAAAGGAACTGCGATTCGCAACGGAGAAACACACGAGGAAAACGTCTGTTTGCGGATAGCTCAGAGGTCTTAAGCGATCATAGTCTTCTTGGCCTGCAGTATCAAATAATCCCAGAGTGTATGGCTCCCCACCAACCATCACGGTAACCGCATAATTATCAAACACCTTCAAGAAGGTAAAGAACATGAAATAAACCTACAGTTGGAACATATTCCTGTGGAAACTTATTTGTGGTATACGAGATGAGGAGACATGTTTTTCCAACTGCGCCGTCTCCGACCACAACACACTTTATTGTGTGGGTCGAACTGGCCATTTTCTGTAGTCACAACCTTCAGAGAGAGCGCGTCAATTAATGAGCAACAAAACAAAACTGCCCGCGAAAAGGTGAGTCTTAACCCCGAAAGGAACTAGCGACAATGTAGATATATTCCTTTATGTTGTCTCACATTTCGCTCATAAATAACAAAAGGACATCTCTTTCACTTGCGCGAATCGCTCTGCAATAATGAATCGCTAGGAGATTCGCTACACAGGTCTTGGCAATAAGTCTGCTGAGGTTCGTGTAGATGGGTTGAGGTGAACAGTTGCGTCCCACTGCCTGAGTTGCCGGCCTGGGAGTTAGAGTTAAAAATGATAACCATGAAGGGGATGAGATTGTAATTAAGTGTGTACAAATGGGTACATGAGCTTTTATATGAAATTGAGGCGATGTTATCGCAGTGGTCGCATTTCGTTTGACAACAGATAGACGTGTGTGAGTGCTAGGCGTAATGTAGGGACTAGGTGTACGAAGGATTCAGCTAAATTAGAGGGGCGAGAGGTTTAGATTGCCAAGACACCCAAATGCCTGTGCCGCTCCACCGTGGGAATTGGGTGGCAAAGGTGAAGTTAACCAGGAATACTTTGCAATTCATATTAACAATTCTGCCACGATTTAGAGGAAACGAAAATGCTAGGACATTGAAAAGTTGCATCGATTAGCTACTGAAGTATCGGTTAACCACGAAAACACAATTCAATATCACCAGCACCGCCAAGCATTGGTGTCCGGAGAACAGTTTTGATACATATGATGCACCTGGAGGCTAAACATTGACCCCTGGGAAACGTCGCCCATATTGTTTTATCCCAAACAGAGCGGAAGGAAAATATCACACGGCTTCTTCGGCACTCCGCATAAAACAAAGCAGAGTTGGTGCTACGACAGCAGGATCCACGGCCGCTCACTGGATGCGCAGCCGTTTGAATTTGTGCCTGTATCCACTTTGTTGGGTAGTAGGACAAAGCGGTGTTGCCCACGCCCAATATTGTTCTTCTATCCTTTTATCGGCTGAAAGATATTGCTTTGCATTTGTTGCAATGAGATCAGGGTTTGTACCGGGAGAAGCTTGTTCTTACATCCCTCCTTCACCCTTGGAATTTTACCAATGTGCACCCAGGTAAGGTAGACAGCACTGCACTACGAGTAATCGTATTTCCTCGAATTTGTTCGGTGAAGTAAAATTATTGTCGGCAGTAAAGACATTAGGCAAGTCAAGCTAAAACTAATTCATCTGGCAACTAGGGGCAGGGTGGTAATCATCCAAAGATACTGAAGTCGACCTCATATCTGCCGGAGAACGACTCTTTACAGGACATGTTATCCCATCGGTCTACAAAATGCCGCTGATACAGCTTAGCTAAGAAGGGACGAATGCATGGCACCGGATAGTTAAATCGATGGTATCGCGCACGACGGCGCATGGCGTTCTGTAAAAAAGCTATCTATAGAATCTTCCCGCCAATAATCTAATGCCCCTCGCGCAGTACGAATACGCCAAGAACCGGTTCTGCATCCCACTGAAGAGTTGACGGTTTGAACCGAGGGAACGTAGTCAAGCATAAACTCAGATGCTACATTTTTCGACTTCTCGAAGGACGACTCTCAAATAATTTGCGAACTCACAGTGTAAAGTTAGTGAGAGGCATTTCTGTAATGGATAGTAAAATTTTTTCACGCTGAAATATTCTAATCGGGCACACTTCAAATTATTACTTTCGTCCCGGGGTAGCCTGAGCAGTATCACGGATTTTCTTGTAGCCACCGCCCTTTAATCTGTACCCTGGTGATCTGTTGGATCTTTCAGTCATGAAGAGAAGTAGCACCGTCAGAATTCTGACGCTAACCAGCGGCAAGTGCACACCAACTCTGAACATTGACCCAGCACCTACTTGTTGACGACGAAAAATGCGTACATGTGTTAATCTGCGGATGTGTACTTTCGTCCCGGGGTAGCCTGAGCAGTATCACGGATTTTCTTGTAGCCACCGCCCTTTAATCTGTACCCTGGTGATCTGTTGGATCTTTCAGTCATGAAGAGAAGTAGCCTTTCTCTTATTCGATCGACACCTTTGATTTCAGGAGGCTGTATAGAGTATATTTTAGTCCAACACTGAAGTACCCTTATAGGGCAAGTCATTCTTAATCATGTGTAGACTGTTACCGTGCTGCACATGTCCAACACGAGGTCACATCCATGGCCGCAGGTGCTCAGTCTATGAACTACAAAAACCAGCTGAAAAGATGAACGCCGCCATCTTAGGCGCTGAGATGGTCTCCCAGCTTGTAAGGTTAATTCCTTGCAGTTACGTGGCAGACTGAGGATGAATGTCTACCACGCAAGTGTTTATGCGAACAAAATCCTGTTTGTAGCCCGCACAAACAACCAACACATACGGTCACACCGAGGCGGAGTTGGCCAGCCACAAAGCACTGGCCGACCCGGATGAGATATGCTATTGTCAATCAGTATTACGACTTGATGTATGGTAGTCCAACCCTGTATCGACCTTTTGATTTCCTGCTCCGCCGACTATGGTATATCAAAAGGCACGGTAGCTCTATACAGTTCTTTATAGAGAAAAGGAAAATTATTAGAACTGCATTTACAGGGTATTCAAAGACTGTTCCACATGGTCGTGCTAGAATTTCCGTGAGGGTGGAGAAACGTCGAGTCAAAGGTGCTCGACTCAGATTGACTGGCATTCTGACCAACCAGGACATGCCTTCATTTGGTCCGTGCCCTGTACGTGACACATCCGTCCAAAAGACGTGATGTTCGGTTATTAGGGACTGCCGACCTCCGGACACCTCCCTTTTCAGGAGGCTGTTCAACCAACCGCTGTTTTGAAATCCACTGTGACGAATCATGGGGGTGCTGTCACATTTCTGTCCGTTCCTGTGGCTGCAAGCGTGCTGATCTGGGATCTCGGGATGTGTCACGGCTGTCCGGTGTCCCACGCAACGAGATACCCTTACGGAGCCACAGAATCTCTGGATTCGGTTTCCTTGACGTGGCCATGCTTACGATCTTATTTCTTCCTCGTGTTTTCCAAATTCGATCCTGCGTCCATCGTAGAGACCATTCCCCATATCCTCGAAATCAGTTGCTGGTCTCCGTGTAACTGTTGTGGCGTCCCTTCTGCCGGCCCCCATTTTTCGACTTTCTGGATAGCAGTAGAACTATCGGCATGAATCTGCGGTTGTAAACTGAAGGGTTCAGACCGCGGGTGAAACGTTGCGGGCTGCCGGCGGGGTTCACCAAATTGGACTGAGGTGAGAGGGCTACTGCTGCCGGACGCCAGAAGCTGAATATTCGCTGTGTCGCGCATGCTCCATCTGGTTTCCGGTTTGGCTATAACTGTGGCGACCACAAAATCGTCAGGACGTGATGTTCTCGTGAACGTATCGGAGCAATCTGCAGTTGCTTCGTTACAAACGGCACTGAGGAGTTCATCCAACAGTTGAAGCTCATTAATCCAATTCAGGCCCAGGAGATCAATGCCTGTATATTTCGTGAGGTAGCAAGTACCATTGAGTTTAATCCGCTTGAACAATACGGAACAGTTCAGCTTCCTGGTCAGTTTGAGGCTTCCACCGGATACCTTACCAACGGTGCACTTTGTGTGTTCCACTGGCGCCCTTCCAATTGCATTCCAGGTTCTTTTTGAAATCAGAGTGAAGTCAGAAGCTGTATCCAGTTGGAAGGTAACTGGTGTGCCATCGATACATAATGTGACGAATTTACGTCGGCCGGTTGATTTCGTCCTAAATGTGGCGGTGATGGTCTCTGGCTGCGTTCATTTGCAGGGCCAGTGTTTGCGTGGGTTGCTGAAGTTGTCCCTGCAACATTTTTCTCTATGACTCTTTTGGCTGCAATTACTGCACCTGTGGTACCGGGAGGGACAGTGGCGTGAATAGTGCCATTCTTCACAAAACCAACACGGGGTGGGCGGCTTTCTTAGAGTTCGTTTAGAATTTGGTCGCCTCTTAGTAGGTACTCTGCATGCCATATCAGGCTGAGAGAATTTGGAATGTCAAATCATTGCAGCATCAGCCTTCAGACTGATAAGACGCTGGCACTCGGTGGTAAGCTTCTGAAACTTTAATTCTGGATCCTGTTCAATTCGATCCAGTGGCCGGGTCCGAATATCTGCATCATGCGGCATTTGAAGACCAGTCACGAAGATGAGACACTTGAACTGATCTTTGGTCATGCAGCTGAGCTGAAAGCGCTCGCATTTTCTGTTGACCACACCGGCATGACTGATGAAATATTCAGTATCCTTTCTGGTGCCCTTGAGACACTGATAACGAATATTGAACAAGGAACTTTGCTCATCGAACATTTGAGCCAGAATTTTGACAGCATCTGCGAGGCCAATGTCACGAGGGAATTAGGGGAGCATGAAATTCGTCAACCGATCATGTTCAGCCGTCCCCAGTTTCCGCAGCAACGTTCGAACTTTCCATGCATCATCAAACTGAGCGAAGTCGGTTTCAAACACGTCTTTATATTTCTTGAACCAACTTTCTCAAGTTCGTCCGGATTCAGCATCGAAATTGAATTCAGTAATCGAGTTGGCAGCAGCATCTCTGGTAGAAGACAGAGGCTCAACCGTTTTTGTGGCATTCACTGACGTACTGCGCATCAGAGGTTCAACAAGCCTGATTCGAGCTTCTTCAAACTGCTCCTGCTGTCCGTAAAACTAATTGAAGTTGCTCTCCCGAAATGTAAATCGTGGACGAGAAGTGTCGGGTCAAAGGTGCTCGACTCAGATTGGCTTGTATTCTGACCAATCAGGGCATTCCCTCAGCAATTGGCGGTAAAGCGTTATAAATAAATATTAACTTTCGTCGTGCGTTTTCAACTTATTCAGCTTATGGTGTTGTGTGGATTCGCTTTTTCCGCTGATCACCGAGGAAGACGCGGGACCGTTCAGTTCCCCTCGTCAGTATCAAACTGATATGGCTTACTGAACGCGTACTGTCACCGCGACGATAAACAGTGTTTAAAAAGCG